ATATTGACTGCAGCGTAAAATATGAAAAAAATATATAAATAATCGTCAGGAAATAGGTACATTAAAACATATGTAATTCTTCTATTAAAAAGCACAATCATTCCAAAACAAAACACTGAAAATTATTACGAAATGTTTTTTTAAGTTTAAACAATTATACATAAAAGTAACATTACTTTCCTTGTAATATACAGGAAAATAAATAAAAGGTGATTCATAATATTGGCCTGAATATTTTTTTTTTCATCATCAGTTATTTGCAAAGAAAAATAGTCGACACTTTCAATAATTTAAAAACCAAACTAAGGATATGAGCTTTGCAGCAGAACATAAGAAAATAAGTAGAATAATATATATTTCCACCAAATTCTCCGATTAGTTTTTTTTTTATTCAGTATTTTTTTTTTATTTCAACATCTACAAATAGTATGTACATTTGAAGTTATTCAGAAATCTAATTTTACCTAATATTTTTTTTCACTTTATTTTGTTGAAAATAAATTTAAAGGACATCGAGGGAATAATTTAGCCTACTTTCATTGGCATCGGAACATCCGTTCAGGCGCTACAGACTATAATATAGACTCTATACCAACACAGGTTTTTTGTCCGCCATCTTGAAATGAAATGGCGGTTGGTAATGTCGAGGTAGGAGAATCATCATCGGGTGACATCTAACTTTGATTAGAAATCTGAAAATAATCAGTTAAGAAGTCTCTGAAAAATGCCAAGGACAGCGTACGGAGGACAGACATTTTTTTTGTATTTGATTTTTGAGTTCTACATATTCTGAAACTTTAACCTCATATTTTGAGGTGAGTTAAGTTTTTGAATTGTTCGGTTATTATATTAATTCATTATTGAAAATGATATATCAAAAAATTAATTACATTTTTTCTGTAAGTCAAAAAAATATTACTTTAAGATACATAACATACTTAACACTGCGTAGGAGTTAATTAGTTTCAAGTAATAAAGTTACTTTAATGATTATTTCGAATATTACAAATATTTCTTTTACGTGTACACCCCGTATTTTCCTTTTCCTATTCAGTATTACTCTGGTTAAAGTAATACCCGAGAGTCAAAGTTATAGAAACCTAATGCTTGTTCCTTTTTTATAATTTTATATTGTCATTATTTTTTTTTTAATTTCTTTATTCGCATATCCCGTCCAGTATATCAATTAACAAAACAGCATCGTTATTGGCTGTATAGTATATTCACTATTCTTATTATTTATTAAAAGAATTTATGAGTAATATTTTGTTTTTCATTTTAAATTCCACATACTGATTTTCTTTGTATTTATTTTTCATCATTTTTATATAGATCACATTGTTTTTGTTAGTGATTTTATGTAGATTGTTCACTTAAGTAATTGATAATTAAAAGAGTTATTTTACAATTTATTATCACCGGCAATACATTCCGAAAGAATAAGATTAACGGTAATCATTGAAGGTAAATTACTATAGTCAGAACATGAAGGTTAAAGTTTCTTTTCTGATCAATCTAGGAAGCATTGAATAGAATAAACTTTCTGGGATAAATCCAGTTGTTATATTTCTTCTTAATAAAGAAATATTTCAACTACTCCTCTGGTAATTTTAAAAACACCGCAATGTGATATACAATGTCAAAACTTTCAGCAGGTGGCGAAAGATGATTACTAGCTTCTGGGAAGATTTGGGCGAGGTGAATTAGGTTCAAGAAAACTGTTGTTAGGTCTGTCGTATTTCAACCTAACGACCTTCTCAACTACAGTCTCTTAGTTTACAAGATATTCCTATGTTTCAAGCATTGCAATCTATATATATATATATACACGTACTTAATCTGCTACATCATGAATGAAGAACGTTTGGGCTGTGATTATACGATATACATAAAAATGTACAATGTTCATAAATGGTATTATTAATTAATGCAGTGGTTCATTTGTCTAATGGTCAAAAATAACTTAATCAAAACTTAGTATTCCATTGCAAAATTTATTTGCATCCGAGAAAAAGGGTTAGTCACCAAGTCACAATTCAATAGGATTGATATATATATATATATATATATATATATATATATATATATAAAGATATTTAATCACTAAGCCACTATAAAATGAACAAATGTCAAAAAAAGTAGTGGCGTAGTTCAGTGGATGAGTACTGGTGAGAATTCAGCTGATGTCTAGTCATTGTTCATAAGCCGTGAGTCGACACTGGGGCCGGAAGACCCTCCTGGGGTCAACCCAGCCTCTATAAAGTCGGTACTCTTAGTTAAATAATTAATATAAGGGGGAAAGCTAAGCGGTTGAGCGTGACATTGGCCCGTAATTTCTCTGTACAACCGTTGGTCTCATAACAGTACTTGCTCACATTCTACTGAACCCACAAGTTATGTGCCATAACCCTTCACGGGTTGTTAGTAGTATAGATTTTTTTTAATTATATAGGTTTCGGCAATATGAAGTTAAAATTTCCATAAATACTTAATTAAAACAACTAAAAATACCTAAAATCAAAAATAAATAAATTTAATTAATCAGATAGAAGGGAAAAGAAACTAACTGTTTTAAATTAACATATTAAGCCGTATAAAATTTCTATTTCCTCCTTTTTGTACTCAAAATAGGCACACCACCAGATTTTCTGTCCCATAAGTTATATAGTTCGACATATATAGTTCGTGGTAAATTCTTATTAAATTATTAACATCCGGCTGAAACTGCGTAAATAGTTTCATCTCATCTTAACCTACAAATATTTTATTTACGAAAATTCTAGAAATTATGTCGTTTTCAATCTGGAGGTCGGCAAACTTTTTCTGTATAATTATTTACTAAAGACTCGTATATACCGATTTTCTTTCCACTTCAATCATAAAATAACTTGAGCACAGGGTCGAGAAAAAAAGTGGCCTTTAAAAATATTGAGCCGTTTGGCCTATATGACCTCGTTATTTTGAAAATTTGGTGGTGTACGTCACACCAAACTGCTCAATATTTTTTAAGGCCATCTTTTTTCTCGAGCTTGTGCTCAAGTTATGTTACGATAAAAGTGGAAAGCAAATGGGTATTTACGAGTTCTTAGTACCTGATTAAGCAGACAAAGTTTTGCAGACCTCCAGATTGAAAAAGCCCCCATTCGAGAATTTTCGTAAATAAAATATTTTTAGTTTATGGTGAGATAAAGCTACTTACGAAGTTTCAGCCGGATGTTAATAATTCGATAATAAGGGGTCTGAACTAACATCACTTAAAAATATATATAGTAAAAAGAAATACTTAAACATTAGTATTCAAAACTCCTAGCTCCTGACCTACAGTCCTATCAGACATTTTCGAATTGTCTCTAAAAGAGCAAGAAGATATTTCCACCTGGTTCGGACGCAGTTATGATGGATGTTGTAGCGCTAAGTGTCCGGTCGCCTTGGCACAAGTTGTTCGCTGCCGACAAGGAGAACTCGATCAGCCCTGACAGTTGGAAAAACTCTTGGCACCTCTCGACACCGCCTGGCAACTTGGTAGCTATTTCCCCAGTTTGACGTATCCCGTTTCGATGAGAAATGTACCATCTGTCATCCGCGCAACATCCATCATCTCCAATACGGAGGAGTCTTCGTCACGTCCTACATTAAACAGCCAACGTTTGTCTGTGGACGTGGCAAGATTGTATCGACATGCATTATGTCCCGTCTATATACCTCATGCAAATTCCTAGATAAGAAGTATCTTCAAGCTCATTTCACTTATTCCTTAAAATGAGAAAATTCTTAATCATGAAAACCTATTAATGCGGTCAACAATAGAAACTTTTTGCAATATCTAAAAATTTCAAAAGAACGAAGTTAAATGTCTAATCGAGATAGCTTAATTTATTAATCACCAATAATCTAGTTTTAAGTCATAATAATATAACAAGTGTCGGCGTTACCTCTTGACCCACATTTTTAATACATAATTTAAAACTAATCAAACAATAATACAAAAAAAAGAAAAGAGAAATGGGAGTCTTTTAGTTGTTTTTTTTCGCTAAATATTTTGCTATGAAATGGTGGTCAAAATCTTACCCATTCCCAATGCCTTTACTGAAAAATGGATGTCAATGTATATAAAACAGGTCTTTATTCAATTCCTTTTACAGTGATGATATTATAGAAAATAGCTTTTTACCATCTTACCTTCACATATTAGTGCTCAGAATCCAATTGTATAACAATTTTTATTTATTTTTAAACACTGCCTCGACCTTAACTTCAAACTTCATTTATTAAATCAAATGAAGGAATATAATTTTTAAAATATAATATCATGTTTTGGTAGTCCTGTGATATTATAATCGTTCCCCCTTTTATTATATATCAATTTTTAATCTTGCATTATTTACAACGCCCGGTTTTTATTTGGTATTTTTTTATTTACTGGAAAATAATCAGAGAAGAATGTAGATTTTGAGCATTAATATAAATTGAGGAAAATATTGTTCATATGAGCCTTTCAGTTGACAGAATGAATAATTTCAATTTCATCATTTTTGTGATATTTCCATGTGATATATTCAACGATTTAATTTTAGTGATATTTCTAGTGGGAAAATTTATAACTTTATTCACATTTCTATATTTCAAAACTGCAGTCACCTACTCTGCAATCAACTTACTCACCGTCTGAACAGGTATTATAAATTTTACAACTAGAAATATCTCTAAAATGATCTTACTCAAAATTGGATTTATTCGTTCTCTAAACTGAAGGGCTTAAACATTCTTCATAAATTGTTATTATTGGCCAATATGGAATGAATAAAATGATAAAGTAAATTATAGCTTCTCAAAGACGTAAGCAAGTAACTATTAAGTTCAATTCTTCCCACTAATCATTGGATCCATCTTATTTATTAAGTACTCATCCTATTGTCGATAAACTATTTATTATTATTATAACTAATATTATTCTCTTCTTATATTTATTTGTGCACAGTTAAAACTGTTGATTTTCTCTTTACAGATTCCAGAAGAAGGAGGTTGAAAGAAATCTTATCCTTAAAAAGGTAAGAAACATTTTTTTATGTTTTGATGTAAATAAAAAAAAAAGGAAAAAGCATTTCGTAGTTATTAAATCATTTTAAATTATATTTCATTAATCCTAGTAACTTTTGTTATATGAATTAAGAAACAAAAATAATATAGTATGATAGCGTTTATGTTGAAATCATTTGTGCTATAATAATATATTTTAACCATTTATTGGAGAATTATAGACTTAAATCTATCATAATGTAATTATATAAAGTAATAAAATCTACTTCCTAATGCTTATGTTATAGAACGAACATTTAAATTTTAAATCACTGGCCTAGACTGAAACGACAAGAAACAGCTCGACGTTTCCGGTTACTTCAGCACTTACTAGACAAACGCTCTAAGCTTCCCAATAATCACAAAAGAATCATATACTTGACCACAATAAGACCTATTTTGACTTACGGAGTTGAGCTATGGGACTCCATTAAACCATCGAATTTCTCTCGCATCCAATCCTTACAATCCCAAATCCTTCGTAAAATCCTCAATGCTCCTTACTTGGTCACTAATAAAATTATCCATAAAGACCTTAATGTTCCTTATGTTTCAGATCTGGCCCAATCCAGATACCTATCCTTCCAAAATAAACTTCAGAATCACCCCAACTCTCTCGTTTCTAACCTTGCTTCCTCTTCAATTCCTGATAACCCTTCGAGGCGTCTGAAAAGAAGATGGCCCTTTGATCTCCTAATGTAGACATATCATTAGAGTGCTACCATTGGGTAATTACTCAGCAAGTGTATTCATGTCATTATATCTATTATGTCCAAATTTACTAGATGTATTTATTTAATACAGTTGTAAATGTCATTAAAAATTAAAAAAAAAAATCACTCTCCTATCAGAAACCATTTTATTTTTAATAACAAAATTAATTACTAAATATACTGAGTATTCGTGTATCACTATAAACTATTGTCCACGTGACAGATTGTTATAATTCTAAATACATAAATTTTAAAATATATATATATATATATATATATATATATATATATATATATATATATATATATATATATATATATATACTGAATTCAATATCAATTAATCTATGAGTTATAATTTTAATAAAAATACCCAATATCCTTCTTCGATTACGTAATAGTCTGCTTCATTTTGTTAATTGTAATAATTGGGAATTAATTATTTTCTTATTCAAAATATATAGTAAATATTGGCGTTACCATTTTTTTTTTCATTTTTTTTATTAATACCTACCAGTCTGTTAACTTATCTTTATTTTAATGGAATTTTATACGAAGAGAAAGATAATGCCTATTTTTGAATGTTTGATGTCATGTTGAATTATGCGCACTGAAAAGTGTGGCATTAATGGACTTGCAAATTTAAATTATAACTGCCGTTCTTAAGTTGTACTTGATACACCGTGTTAATTGAACTTTTTAAAGGTTGAAATAAAAAGAAAATTGCTTAAAATATTACGTTCAGAGCTACACAACGAAACTTAATTCAAATTCTACTGAAATTTTGTAGTAGTTTATATTATATTTCATTAATAGTCTGTCATTTAATGCAGTTCATATAACATTAATAAAAATGATGTTTATCGTATCTAGAGCTTCGATGCAAATATGCTCATACCTCTCCCAATCATAACCAAATCAAAATTTAAATAATTTAAGAGAATCAGACTTGACTAAAACCTGCCATCTAGTATTTGCCTCTCAGAAATTCACAAGAGATCACGTTTTTGTTCTTTATCTAGTTCAATAACATCACCCAAACATTTTGATTCAATGTTAAACAATTATTTCAAATACATGGCATTAAATTTTTACAACTTCATCATATTTCATCAGGTGTAATATATTTCGAAATATATTATTTTTCAATACTTTATTACAAGCTACGATGAACATTGAAAAAAAAAATCAGATTTATAAAAAGCTTAATGTATTTCTAAGCAGGAAATAAATAATAGCTATATTCCGCCTCTGAAATTTATTTTTTTTCTTAATAAATTTTCCTCATTGGTGAATGACCTAAATCTATTTTCTCTAAATATACAATCGTATCTCCTTTTTAAAGTTTCATCATTAGTTCAATATATACGAATGTAACTGAAGAAGTATCAGTAATTTAGTTATATATTTTATTGCAACATATATTGGGAAATTAGTCTCCTTGCCTTCCAACCCACATAGCCCATCATTGCACAAGCTTCCTAAACCCCTCGAAAGATTTTCGGCTAAGAAACGAATGCACCACTTCCTTCAATTCTTCCTCAATTCCTTGGAAGATCGATGGACGGCTCTTTGATACCCCTTTGAGTGGACCAAAGAAATTGTAGCCAGTAGATGCAAGATCAGAACTAATTGGAGAATGATCCAATACTTCAAACTTGAGCTTCCGGTATGTTTCGGAAGTGTGGGTGGCACCATGTGGAAGGAAATTGTCGACCAACAACACAACAACATTTCGACAGTAGTCTTTCAAGTTTGCTTCAAATTGAAGGTATTGAATTGCACTGAACTTTTTGACAACAAAATTTGAAACAAGGAACTTTGTATTTCTTGGATGCAAAAAGAATTTTGAATAATTAATGGCAAAACCGTGTGATGAAACTAACCGAGAAAAATGAAATATTTAGAGTAATAATCACATAGTGATAGTGTTGCTTACATAAACGCTAATACAACTGCGTGTATGTTGAACTAAATACATGTTAAGAATTCGATGACAGTAAATACATTATTTCCTTATCTTCGTTTTATTTTATAGAAAACAGAGCTTGGAATAGATGATTAAAAACTTAAAATCAAATCTGTCAACATTTATACCTGGAATTTTTAAAACTCATATCTTAATCATTATTTTTTAAGAAAATAATTTTCAATCAACAATAACTATAATTCATGAGTGATACATTTTTAATCTGAAATATATATTGATTGTAATCTCTATAATACAGAGTAATAGGTGGAAATTATTGCCGTCAACTATTAGTAAAAGATCACATTTATTTCCGAGATTCTTGATAATAATAAATATATAAAAAGAAAAAAAATACATAAAAAGAATAAATATATACATATATATTGTGAAGGTACCGCGTGAAAAATTAAAGCGGTTTCATAAATATAATATAAAAAATGTGTATATTAATAACGTGTACATACACATTAATATTTAATTTAATTTGCGTGTAAAGGGGGATTTTTATTTTTTGATAAAACAGTTTTTTTTTCATCTCAATTTAATCATTATTATTTATGTAAACCTGCATAACTCAGTGAGTGATCATTATTATTAATCGAATCAATAAACATCAAATATCGATGTAAACTTTTATTTATAAATCAGACATGGTTTCAAAATTAAAATTAAAATATAAGAAACACTACATGATTTTGTGGAAAAAATAATTATCGATTTCAAACCCTAATACAAAACAGCTTTTCACGTATTAGCGCTCAGAATCCAATTGTTAAAATATTTACGTTTGTTTTTATCACCGCCTCGATCTTAACTTCAAAATTTCATTTATCAATATCAAATGAAGGAATTTAATTTTTAAAATATAATATCATGTTTTAGTAGCCCTGTAAAAGGAATTCGTTAGAATTTTTAACATTCCTCCAGAGCTCTTGAGCCTGGCCATAAAAAGGGGCAGCTGTGTTATAAATATTTTAAAAAAGGGAGCATTATTAATTCAGAGTGGCTCTCATTTCCACCGTCCTGGAGCAAGGGTCTTCACTTCCATTAACTCTTAACGAGGGGTAGTGAAATTTAAAATTGCTACTAAAAAAATTGTAGTTGCGGTTTCCTACACAACTTTTGTAATATACCTGTATAGTTTGATAATAAACCGTTAAGTATAGAAAAATTTTATTCTTCGTATCATAAATATCTAGATTCAACTTTCATTTAAAATATATATGTAATCCATTATTTGTATTTTGTTATTCAGTTATATTTGAATGGCGATGTAAAAGTTGTGTTGTTTTAGGTGTAATTACGCTGTTAAGATATGTCTATACAGATTTTGTTGTTTAATTACGTTATTGTAATTATGTTGTAAAAAGTTTTTAATTTTACTGGTTGTATGGCTTGTGGATATCCCCGGAAGCGATACGAAGTCCTTGATTGAATTAAGCTCGGACAATGTCCTAAGATGAGGACAATGTTCTTATTCGTGAATTTCCATCGAGGAGGAGCCTGCTGTAACTTACTATTACGCGTGTGTTAGTTAGGTTAGGATTACAGTGTTTGCAATAGTGCACTTTTTTTATGCAGAAGTGGTCTAATGACATTATAAATGCTGTTCATATTGTTGGTACTCTGGAAATTCTCATCGATAGTCAGGTCTGTTCCAACTTAATACCAAGATTAATAGTTTCTGACAAATTCTTCAAATATGCCTGTGCCAGTCGGTCATGTGTAAATAATTTAATGTGGTATAAATAAATAGAAGAAAATATATATGCACAAATAAAAGAATTTTATATTAAATATTAAGGAGGGAGTAAACTATATTTGTCAATCAAGACTCAAATAACGTAAAATGTTGACAAACTATTGCTATGTGTTGTAAGGATCGCCTGTGGAATATATTTAATAATTTCAAATGAATAAATCTATTCTAAATAATAATTGACAACACGTGGATCTGAGGGACCCACTATTGAGTGCAACATTTTGTAAGGGGCAATGAAACACTTAAAGACAGAGGCAGCTTGGGGTCAATCAAGGAGAGTCCAGGAAGGCAGACAGAAGAAGATAGACAGCTAGATATACTGGCGACACCCCTCACCATGAAGAAACAGCTAAGTCGTAACATCCATTTAGTTATACGTATGTAAACTTGTGTTGGCAATCATTAATAGAATCAATAGATGATCAGTACTTTCAAACAGTCCTATCCAAAATAGCATTCTCCTCTAATATGATTTTCTACTACATATTGTGTATATATGTTTTGGTTTTGTTTAAGTTTATAAAA